GAAGAAAACTATAAGTTCTTATTGAAGAAAACTATAAGTTCTTATTGAAGAAAACTATAAGTTCATATTGCAGAAAACTATAAGCTCTAATTGAAAGTTGTTCTTGACTACACAAATTGAATTGAGTTAACTCTTATTTTATGTAATTTCATGCGTCTGTACTGTGCTGAAAGCTAGGTTTCGAATAAACAGTCATAGACATTGCAACAATGGGCGATGATAATCCAAGGAGTTCAGAAGAACTTAGCAATATCTTTGGAACGATGGGAGATGTTAAATTTACATTGATATTGCCTGCCTTCTTCGATAATGTACATTAGTAGTATATCGTAAACGAGATCCTGGGCCGATGTGACATCGGAATCGCATACCAGTATTACCCTACGCAATGTTCATTTCTGCATCCGATATACTAGTATCATTCGCTCCCACTGACCATGTGTCCGCAGCAAATCGACCGAGGATCGTTACCGTATGCGTCATATGGTGTTCCGCGTTACGTTGTTTTGTGTTGTTACGTCCGTGTGCGCCATTGTACTGTACATTGTAGACGTGCAGCAGGTATTTGTGGACCGCCTTCCCTTGGTTATCCGTGAGGTTGATTTTGGCGCTAATTTTCGACACTCGAGGTCTCAGATCCTTCCCTCTTGTATCGATGTGGCTCGAAGATGAACAACTTCCCAGACGTTTTGAGATGAAGCAGCAATGATGTTCGAATCAACTTTCCCAACGGCGGTAAACCATAAGTTCAACACATGTATTTAATCGTATCTCAACAATTATCCGCGATATATCAAAGGAGTAACCAATTTCGGAAAACAGCCACAAAAGCCTCCTGTATTGAAAGATATGCGACACGGTGTGTCCTCTGCATATAAATTTGCTCATAATTGACCAAATGTGTCCGTTATATCTATACTTCCTCTGTTCCATTTACCACCAACATTTGACTTGTAAGCAACCCCAAAAATTCATTTTTTATCCAAACTGAATGATTCAAATCAATTTCGAAAGAACATGAAAAACCGAGGGGAGACAGCTGGGCGCAATAACATAGTTTTGGCGGTCGAAATCCACATCCATTTTTGAGAATTTATACAAAAATATGCAAGTCGACTTTTATAATTCAAAAGTCGGGGACCTGAGCCACTATTTTTGAATTTGCCGCCATGACCACTGACATGCCACGCATACGCCGAGAACTGAGTGCCGACGATAAGCTCGAGGTTGTGAAGATGCTGCAACGCACCTTCACCAAGGGCAAGCTGGCCCATGGAGCCATCTCGGCAACTGCAGCCCAACTAAACCTGCACCGCAGCACGGTCTCCTCGTTGTGGTCCTCCTTCAGCAGCAACGAGCCGACGTCGAACAAACCAGGCCGTGTGGGTCGCAAGCCAGTCTACACGGCTGATGAGATCACAGCTATGGCGAACGCTGTACCCCACTCCCAGCGCTCGACATTGCGCGACATCTCGGAAGCAACTGGGTTGTCGCTTGGCACACTCAGCCGCAGCCTGAAGGTCGGCATCATCCAACGCCGCTCGTCACGCCTCAAGCCCCTGCTCACGGATGCCAACAAGTTGGTCAGGGTCGCGTTTTGTGGCTCGCACGCCCGACGCTCCGCGCCGGCCGTTGAGCATTCTGCTAGGTTGCCAGCGGAGTTGGCAACCTAGCAGAATGTCAATTTGACGATATGTGGGACGTCGTGCACCTTGACGAGAAATGGTTTAACGCGGACAAGGACCGTCGAAAAGTGTATCTGTTGACGAACGGGTCTCTGAGCCGTCGCGCATTCAAAAGCAAGCGATTCATACCCAAGGTCATGTTCCTTGCTGCCGTCGCCCGCCCCCGTGTCGACGATGACCGCGGCGTTCTGTTCAATGGCAAGGTCGGCATGTGGCCCTTCGTGAAGCAAGAACCGGCCACTCGCAACTCTCGGAATCGCGCCACTGGAACTATGGTCTCGACGTTAGTCAACGTCAACGCGGATGTTTACTGTGACTTCGTTCTGCACAAGGTTGTTCCCGCTATCAAGGCTAACTTTCCCAGTGCCTACAAAGGGTCATTTTTCAGCACGACAATGCGACACCCCATGCCTCGGTCACGGATGCAGTCCTGGAGAGCGTATCCACGGATGGATAGAAGTTCGTCGTTCGTTGTCAGCCGCCCAACAGCCCTGACCTGAATGTCCTGGACCTTGGGTTCTGTGCATCCATCCAAGTTCTACAGTACAAGATGGTGAGTTCATCCATTGACGATGTGATTTTCTCGACGTTGACAGCTTTCGACC